ATTTTTCAATCCTGGTTGGAACGGAGATTCGTTGGGCACAACCTCTTTCATATGATGAAGTACATTGGTCATTACAGTCGATTTCACAAAACTTTTGTCAAGATGTTCCAAACTTCGTTCCGAAGTTCGCAAAGTTTGTTTCGAATTCACAAGTTCAACATTGAAATTCACAAGCCGGTTTGTAAACAAGACCTCTAGTTGATCCATGAATTGAAAGAAGCCAATCAAACCAGTTTGTGAACTTACGAACTTGGAAACTTCAAACTTTGGAATTTCGAAATGAACTTGCAAACTTGAAACGAAGTTCGGAACATTTTGGCTAAAGTTACGCGAAATCGACAGCAACATATGTCAATGGCGACGACTTCTTCTATGTACCAAAACCAAATGATGGTTACTATAGAGACCTTAATTCAGGCCCGTTTACACTTGCAATTTTTGCTGCGATTTCTAGTACGATTTTCTTCTTCTGATCGATGTGAACGAGTGATGAGTTATGAATATTCTGAGTGTAATGAACCTTCATGTGAACATTCATAACTCATCCACTCATTCACATCTATCAGAAGAACAAAATCCCAGCAAAAATTACTGGTGTGAACGGGCCTCTGTTAATTTTGTGTCAGCTGGGGTAATGTAACTGTAATGCTCTGTTTTCATATCCAGGCCAGTATTCAAAGGATGTACTGACGTATCTGAGAGCTAAGCAACGGAAGGCAGTTGCATATTTCAGAATGAAATTGATGGTTATTGGTCTGCAGGTAATGACTTGGGCTTTATAACGCCGATTTACACCACAGTGGCGACATTCAAACATAAAATATCTATAAGCCGATTTACACTGCACAACTTTTGCCTCAAACTGTCGCATGCAACCTGCTTACAACTTGAGTTGTAGTCTATAAATCAAACACACAACTCGCCTTCGTTGTTATATATAGGTGAGTTGTGTGTTTGATTTACACAGTACAATTCAAGTTGTAAGCAGTCTGCATGCGACAGTTTGCATGCGACAGTTTGAGGCAAAAGTTATGTGGTGTAAATCGGCCTATAGATATTTTATGTTTGAATGTCGCCACTGTTAGGGAGAAAGTTAAATGATTGTAGACTTTCACCTACAAACTGAAGCTGCTGATTACAAGGTCACAAATACATGAACGCGTCACAAGAAACAAGGATACTCTGAATGTACCTTTTTATCGAACAGTGACAGGTCAACGCTCATTTTTGTTCAGAGCAGTGAAATTGTGGAATGACTTGCCTGACAATGTTAAATCTGGGAACAATTTGAAGAATGTGGAATGTTTTAAAATAGCATTAAAAACATATCTGTTTTAACAATTTTTAACTAGTTATCTATATTAACATTAATATTGACTTCGTTTAGCACATTTGTAATTAATATCTGAAAAGCCCTTTTGGGAGATGTTAAAGTTTTTAAATTAAATTAAATTAAATTAAATGAACTACTAACAGAACTGCACATTCCTCATTTTCCCAGTGTGACTACAGCGGGAAATCGGAATACCGGGAGAAGTGGAGCACTCTTCTCAGATGTGCCTGACTGCCAAAATATGAAATTGTATTTGTTTAGGGTCGTGGTAAAACCACACTACTCGCAGCATTACGTGGTCGCCCACTTCCTCCCAATATTTCAACCGTTGGCATTATTGTCAATGAATGGACAGTTTCTGGTTCCAGTTCGATTCTTGGGAAGTTGAAGAGGGACCAGGTAGGCGTGATAGGCTCAATTCAGAGAAATGTAACTCTACCAATACGAATTCTTTACAAAATCTGATTACTTTAAGGATTCTTTACAAAATCTGATTACTTTAAAATCTGATTACTTTAGGAGCCCATATTCAAGATTATTTAATTATGTATGTACTACCTCTGGGTGATCTAACCATGCTTAACTCAGCAGTGAGTTCTGTACAGCATCAGATTACTTTAAGGTAGCTCACATTCAAGAATATGTACTACCTCTGTATGATCTAACCATGCTTAACTCAGCAGTGAGTTCTGTGCAACATCAGATTACTTTAAGATAGCTCACATTCAAGAACATGTACTACCTCTGGGTGATCTAACCATGCTTAACTCAGCAGTGAGTTCTGTACAACATCAGATTACTTTAAGGTAGCTCACATTCAAGAACATGTACTACCTCTGCATGATCTAACCATGCTTAACTCAGCAGTGAGTTCTGTACAACATCAGATCACTTTAAGGTAGCTCACATTCAAGAACATGTACTACCTCTGCATGATCTAACCATGCTTAACTCAGCAGTGAGTTCTGTACAACATCAAATCACTTTAGGGTAGCTCACATTCAAGAACATGTACTACCTCTGCATGATCTAACCATGCTTAACTCAGCAGTGAGATCTGTACAACATCAGCTCACTTTAGGGTAGCTCACATTCAAGAACATGTACTACCTCTGCATGATCTAACCATGCTTAACTCAGCAGTGAGTTCTGTACAACATCAGATCACTTTGTGAGCTACATTCAAGAACATGTTCTACTTGACCTAATGCTTGTATGCAAGGTAAAATAATTCATTCTTCTTTTTCTAGGTCCGCCTATGATAAAAAGGGCAGATAATATTGATGCCGTTCATGGTGACTCAGTGATGTTAAATTGTGAAGTGTTAGCGCACCCCCCGGCCACAATCACTTGGCACTTCGGCAATACTAATTTTAGTGAAAATAGTACGAGGGACGGGGGGCCGAGGGTTGTCAATGGCTCTCTCTATATACCTCAGACAATCGCGAAAGATGCTGGAACTTATAAATGCATTGCTGTAAATGTGAGAGGACGGAAATCAGAAAACATTACACTTCGTATCGGAGGTATGCAGACAGTGTTTTAATGCAGTGAAGGTCGCGGGATTTCTCGTTCTCATCACATTACCACTCTTTTGGTACTGCCAATCCAGTTCTTGAAATTGTTGCCTTGATTTATACCAATTGCCTTCTTAGCTTTGTTGCGCAGTTATTGAAATGCCATATAATCAGGGCTCGAAATAACGGGCTGCCAATAGCCAAAACCAGGTCATATTTTAGAAATGGCAGGTAAAATCAAATTTCAACTGCCATGTAAAAAATGCCAGGTGAAATTCTATAGATACATTTAATTTCATTTGCTTACCACAACTCATATATACTAGATCATTTAGTTGACTAAATACGTTTATATTTGAAATGTAAATCCAAGTTTACTGTAGTGAAATAGACCACTTTAAAAATAGTAAAAATGCGTATCATGAAAACATTGATTTTTACAATATGAGACATCACCATTTTGGCAGTTCAATAAATAAAAATGGCAGGCTAAAAATTTATTTCACCTGTCAAAAAATTTAGACTTGCAGGCCATTTTGTTTATCTACTTCGAGCCCTGACACTGTATAAAGAATTTGTGGGAGACAACAAGGGACAATCGCCCAGGAATTAATATCATTGTCTCACTCTGACGACTACAGCTTGGCGAGCATCTGCTGCACGATGGTGCTCAATGAAACCCGAGTAAAACAAGACACTAATACTCTCTTCATCGTTTTCTACAGAGGAAGCGAGATTTGAAAAGAAAGCCAACTCACTCAGCGTTGCCATAGGGGGAAAAGCTGTATTCAGTTGTCGACCATTGAGTACGGATGGGGAGATGTCGATAAAGTGGCGTAGGAATGGTCAGACGATACAGTCTGGTGGTAAATATGACGTGGGCAGTGAGTCATTGACCATTAGTGATGTTTCAAGCAAGGATTGTGGAGAATATTATTGTGTAGCGAGAGATGGGCACTCCATTATTACTAGCATTGGAACATTAGCGATTAAAAATGGTAAGTTTGTTTAGTTTTTTTTTGTTTTGATTATAACTATTACCATGGTAGACTTACGACGAGAGTGTTGTACAGAACTCACTGCTGAGTTAAGCATGGTTAGATCATGCAGAAGTAGTATATGTTCTTGAATGTGAGCTACCCTAAAGTGATCTGATGTTGTACAGAACTCACTGCTGAGTTAAGCATGGTTAGATCATGCAAAGGTAGTACATGTTCTTGAATGTGAGCTACCTTAAAGTGATCTGATGTTGTACAGAACTCACTGCCGAGTCAAGCATGGTTAGATCATGCAGATGTAGTACATGTTCTTGAATGTGAGCTACCTTAAAGTGATCTGATGTTGTACAGAACTCACTGCCGAGTCAAGCATGGTTAGATCATGCAGAAGTAGTACATGTTCTTGAATGTGAGCTACCTTAAAGTGGTCTGATGTTGTACAGAACTCACTGCTGAGTTAAGCATGGTTAGATCATACAGAGGTAGTACATGTTCTTGAATGTAAGCTACCTTAAAGTGATCTGATGTTGTACAGATCTCGTGTGAGCTAAATCTCTCCTATGTTCACTCCCAGTTGACTAAGTTAACTTATTTTATCATTCAGAGAAGCCATGTATCCACAAGCCTCCTGAACATCTCCAGCTTGATGTTGGTATGTACGCCAGGTTTTACTGCGCAGCCAGCGGTGACCCAACACCCGAGATACTATGGCAAAATGCGAAGCAACCTAACCCGAATGTATTTGAAATAGAAAAAGTGAACATTTCCCATGTTGGTGTTTACACCTGCACAGCCCGGAGTAAAGATAAAGTTAGTAATGCTTACGCCTTTCTCACTGTTGATAACCATTACCGTAAGTACACGTTGCTTGTCTTTGTTAGAGAGTTTAAGTTCGACTTCCAATACCGATACTAACAACATGTCATGCGCATGCTCTCTGCTCGCAAGAAGCACGAGGACAAGTGTATTGGAAGTCACCACTACCGAAGTCGCCTTGTATTGGAAGTCGGGGGAATTGTAAGATAAACTCATATAAATCGGATATTTCATGATTTTTATGATAAACAAGTATACTATTTGTTTATTAGCATCGCCTGAGTCATGTTTTAGTCGGAATTTTAGCTCAGCTGCCATTTAGTATACCGCACATTTTCGGTGACGATTGATGTGTTCTATACTTTATCTGTCGTGATAACTTAACGCTTTAAAATTCCCGGTACCAAAATGAGAACGGAAGTGAAAACATCGGTATCGGTATTGGTATTGGAAGTCGAACTTAAACTCTCTATTATTTTCTAACCGTGCTCACCTAACGAGTATTGTTGATTCTTGATCCAGAACCAATCCCGTTTGCACACTTCACGCGCCAGCTTGAAAGGTGCAGACTCGCAGGCATTTGCAATAACATAATCATCATCAGGAGCTTCCACTGGACGAATTCCTGGACGATATTTTCTCACGAAGAAATCATCCCATGATTTGTAACCATAATGCGGTTTTTTTGGGTCGCATTCAAATTCTTTAACGAAATTTGGCATTGCCTCCATTGCATCTGTACCAAACCACCCTGAACGTGGATCATCAGTCAAAACATAAGTAGATTCTGGGCTAGACAAGTATTTCCCCCAGTAATTTAAAATGTCCTTGAATAACCTGTTCACCTAAAAATAATATTATTCCAATTGTGAATTCTGGCATCGCTTTGCCGGGCTGGTACCCTCACTGCGTACTTCACAAAGGTCATCCTAAGACCTCCGATTTTCTAAAAGCAGCAGTTTTAAATGTAAAACGTGTAATTGTCAATCCTGTACGTATCCAGAGTATACCTGGTGCTGAGCAGGGGTAGCGGCTACGCGTTTTTGAAGGGGGGCTGTAAATGAATTTTTCCAAGTTATCAATAATATTAATATTTTTCCGAAATTTGTTGGCGGGATGGGGGGGGGGGCGGGGGCAGTGTGGTAGAAGCCGCGGCTCGCCATCAAAAATCATCTTTGTTATTCTGATTTTGTGTTTAATTGTTCGTTCCTTTTTTCCCTAATATTTTCCGGTGAATGTAAAAGGCGCGGAATGGCATGCGGAATGGCCTGCGGAATGGATTGCGCACATTCATATATTCGTGTTCTGCATTATTAATTTCTTTTGAAATGATTGTTTTTAAGGTCTGTGAATACGAATATATGAATATAGTCCCCCCACCACAGTTATCGAGCTGGCTGCGCCACTGCTTGATACTCAAACACATGGAAAGATATCCAACTAGTAATCCATAGAAAGCTGTAGCTTAATTATACACTGCACGTAAAGATTGGGCACACTATTATCATGCGATACTAACTTGTGTAATGAAGAGACATCCATATTTTCAACCTCCCATGGTTGATTATTCAGAGGTGCAAATGTACTGAGTAAGGCAAACAAAATGAAGATGGCTGGAGATCTTCAAATCATTTTGCCATAGATGCATCGTCAATGATAATTCATAATCTGCTGTGTTGTGCTGTGTTGCGTTGTGTTGTGTTGTGTTGGCTAAGATTGGTACCTTAATATCCAATCGCCATGGTGATAAAGCACTCTGAAGGCACTATACTAACAGTTTTTGCTTGAAATAATAATAAATCCTTTCGTGTAGTAGCTAAGGCTTTATTGTAGAACGCGCGTACGTTGGCCTTTATTGTAGAACTTTGGCCTTTATTGTAAAACTTATATACCTCTACTGGTCCCTGTTGCCTTAGTTTTTAGTTCCGAAAATTATGGATTTCATAGCGTTCGAAAAATACACCCTTTCGATAATTACGTGTTTGACCTGGAAGCTTCGACTCTCGAATCGTCAGCAAATCGATCACCTTGCGTTTTTTCAAAAAGTATTTATCACGACGTAATTATCGCCAAAAAAGTATTCATGACGTAATTAGCGAAAGGGTGTATTGAAAACGTGGGGAAATCACTCAGAAAAGCTGTCATAAGATTATGGCGCGAAATTTACATCATTTTTCGTTCCGCAGGCCATTCCGCATGCCATTCCGCAATGTCATTCCGCCTTCGGTGAATGTAAAAGGCGGAATGGCATTGCGGATTGAAGTAAATTTAGCGACATTTTTTACCGGTGATGCAAAACATCCGGAGAACTTGATACTCAAACACATGGAAAGATATCCAACTGGTGATCCATACCAACCTGTGGCTTACACTGCACGTATAAAGAGAGGGCACACTATTATCATGCGATACTAACTTGTGTAATGAAGAGACATCAATATTTTCAACCTTCCATGGTTGATTATTCAGAGGTGCAAATGTACTGAGTCAGTGAGGCAAACAAAATGAACCTGGCTGGAGATTTTCAAATCATTTTTCCATAGACGCATTGTCAATGATAATTCATATTCTGTTGTGTTTTGTTGTGTTGGCTAAGAATGGTACCTTATCTCGTGATTATATGAATATTTAACTATCCAATCGCCATGGTGATAAAGCACTCTGAAGGCGCTATACTAACAGTTTTTGCTCGAAATAATAATAAATCCTTTTGTGTTGTAGCTATGGCTTTATTTGTAGAACGTTGGCCTTTATTGTAAAACTTGTATACCTCTACTGGACCCTGTTGCCTGAGTTTTTAGTTCCGAAAATTATGGATTTTATAACGTTCGAAAAATACACCCTTTCGATAATTACGTGTTTGGCCTGGAAGCTTCGACTCACGAATCGTCAGCAAATCACCTTGCGTTTTTTATCGAAAGGCTGTATTGAAAACGTGGAGAAATCACTCAGAAATGCTGCCATAAGATTATGGCGCAAAAATTGTCACGTAAAAATGTCGCGAAATTTACATCATTTTTCGTTCCGCAATCCATTCCACAATCCATTCCGCAGGCCATTCCGCATGCCATTCCGTAATGCCATTCCACAATGCCATTCCGCCTTTTACATTCACCGCATTTCTCCACATGTTAGCTATCATTCTTAATTTTTAATCGACGTCACTCAAATATTTTTATTTTTTCTTCCTAAATCCATGTTTTGCCGACAACCCCCACCTCCCCTCCACCTTTTTGGACTCAATTCTCGCTCCAGATATATATGGAGCTCATCACTGGGGGCATGACACCCAAACTGCAAAAGGACATACTCTGAATAGTTGTAAAAGTCCTGAAATTGAGTTTTTGGGCATTATATGAGAATTATATAGATACAAATTAAGCATTCATACAAAGATTTAAGCCCAAAACAAAACAAAATTTGACTCTGAAAAATGCAGAAAATCGTCATTCTGTATTTGTAAAATTCAACATTTTAATTATGAGTATGCTTTCGGACCCCATAGCTAGTAGATATGCATTACGTCATGAGCTCATAGCTCCCCCACAGTCTGCTCTCCTTGTTAATTGAGATAGGTAGTTCTAAATTTTTCTTGAGATAACTCCTGATATTTCACTACATTGTATGTGTAGAATTATGAATAATATTTAAAGGACATTGGCAATAAAAAATTAGTTCAGTTCATTTGAAAGAACTTTTAAAACTATATATTAAACTCTATTACAGATTGTTTATATCTTGCTTAGTTTTTAGAATATTTGGACTGAAAAAAGTCAGCTGTTCGCCATCTTGGATTATTCAGTGAGGATATGTAATGTTACGTCAATTAACTTCGGTCTAGATATTTCGAGAACTAAGCAAGATATGACAAATCGGTAATAAAGTTTAATGAATATTAAGAGTTCTCTTGAATGAGACCAACTAATTTTTTATTGCCAATGTCCTTTAATTATTTAATTATATATTTATTGTCCTTTCATCTGGACCAAAGCCAAAGAAAGCGAAAGGCTTGTGATAACTAAAGCATTAAGGTTAGTTTTTGGCAAAGGAGGGAAGCCGTAGGACCTGATAGCATAAGAGACAACCAACAAAACTCTACTCTTTCATTAGTTTCAAAGCACGGAGCAATTGCTCAACCTACATATATACGCGACCCTCGACCTATTGTGGCAAACTTGATTACTCTAAGTCTAGATGTTACTATCGCAAGGAAAGTGTTGTCATCATGCTAAAAACTTGTGAATAATATCTCGACCTAACTAAAAGTAAAATTTAAGAAATCCTGAAAGTAAAATTTTAAATTTTCTGATGTTTACAAACTTTTCCTATAAAACACTACAAATGACACACTGTATGTATTAATTTATTCTGTTGTCAAAAAGTTGAGATTAGAAAAATTTTGGTGTTTCTTTAGTTATCGATTACAGCATTTGCCAAATGCCATTTGGTATTGGATAAACTCAAGAGGGTCACAATGTGTTTAGCATTTAATTTCCATCATATTGTATGGATCAAGGATTATAAAGCAGTTATGTTCGACCACGCGTAAGATAAGGGGCGGGCGCTGGCTGCATCTGATACGCGGCATACGCCTTACCTTGTCATTCAGGAAGGCAGCGAAACCAGCCGTGGTAGCCATTGGCCAGTTCAAGATGACGTTGATTGGAAATCCCACCAAACCACTTTTGTTGTACTCAGGAGCTGTGTCCATGATCATGTCGATCATGAGAATCATCCTTTGCCAAGTCCAGATCTTTAGTCCTTCAGAAGTGTCTGGCAGTTGTTTCTGTTGCCAGAACATTTGGTGGAAGAACATGTTGATCTCTAACATGGAAAATACAAATTAATACATACATGCAGTAAAACCCCGCATATAAGAACATAGATTTTTCCAAGTTAGCCTAAACGGCTTCTTATGTCCATGGTGTTTACCAGGAAATTGGGCTAAACAGGTTCTTAAATAAGTTATTATTTTCTTAAGAAATCCGTCACACGAGTTTCCCGTCTTAGACGGAAATCCGTTTTCTAATATGAATTCATGTTTTGAAAGACTATGTTCCCACACTTGGTCAACTTCAAATTTTATTGTCTCGATTCTCGAATACTTTTATGTAAATTATTAATGAGTAATACTAATAGCATGGTTCTCGTGAAATTTGGATCCAAATTGCACTCGAAACCATGCTATTACTTATCGCAGTAAGAAATATTGTTATATCGACCAGTTTCAACTGGTAACCTATGTGCTGACATTCTCAACTTTGTAAAAGCCTGTCGATCTCGATGTTTAACGTTGCGGATTTCCAAAAGGTATTTTTCTAAATCAAAGTTTACTTTGATTTGCTAAATACTCTTAATTTGTTGAATATGATTCTTATAATTCGTTCCGCAGACCTCTCTTGTTACATTATACAAATCATTAATTCAACCGTATTTTGATTATTGCTCTCCCCTGTGGGATACATGCGATAAAATAT